GTTATCAAATATTAAAAATATTATTCTCTTGGAAATATTATATTTTAGATATAACATCTTTTATTTCAGGATTTGACATTTTAAAAAGGATAATATGTATTATATATTATTCTATTTTTATATATTGAGTATAAAAAATATATTATATTATTTTTATCTTTAATTTGTTCTTTTATTTAAACACAATATTGTTCGTTTATTAAATAAACTCTTAAATACATATAATACCATCACTTATTCCTTAATTTTTTTTTATTATTTAATTATATTGTAATTATGTTAACCATAGGTATGTTATGTTGAAATATTTTTATGGGCAACATCCTATTTGTTTTTATCATTTTGGTTGTCTGTCTATAAAATATTCTGTAACTATTTTATTAAAATATACTATCACTCTTTTATTATAAATAAAATTGAGTGAGAATTTAATTTTTAGTTTTTACATAAAAACCAATTTATTTAGAATATATTTATTTTTATCAGTAATTTGTCGAAAGTAGACTTTAAGAAACAAAAAAAAAATTAAAAAAAAAAAACAAAAATCAAAGTTTGCCATTGAAACTGTTATGGAAAAAGTAAAATGGGAAGATGAAAAAAGCAAGAATCCATTTTATGACCACCAAAATCACTTGTTTTTCTAAGTTAGATAAAACCCTACATGTCTAAAAGAAAATAGATAATTAAGCAATGGAAGAAACACAACAAATACAACCAAATGACTCTGGACATATTGAGGTAAAAAGAGAAGAAAGAAAGGGTGATAAAATCTTTAATTTTCTTTTTAAGTATATACACAAACTTAGATTTGTTATTGTAATATTTTGGATTCTTGCCGTTATTGGATTTGCTTATCCTGCATTAAAATTTCTTGGTGCTACATCATTGTTTATTGAACCACCGAAAGGAACATTAGCGTATAGTGCAAATCAGTTGGTTAATGAGAAGTATCCTGATGTGTTTAAAGAAGGACAAAATATTGTGGCTATTAAAACTACTGATAACTCTTCTGTTCTTACGCCATATACTGAATCATTTTCACACCAACTAAATAGTTGGATGCAAGAACAACCAATTATTCTTTCGGCTGAAGGATATTATCTTCTTCCTAATGCTTCTAATGCAACTATAATTGACCAAACTGCATTGGAAATAATTAAAAAACAATTTGTTGGGAAGTCAGGAGATGTTACAACAATTATCATTACAATTGATGATAGAGATGGTACAGCAATTCCAAAATTTGTAAAATCATTAAGAAAAGAAATTAAACGATTAAATAATGAAACAGATAAGTATTATGTTGGGGTAACTGGATTTGAACCTGGAAGTGTTGACTTACAAGAAGAAATTATGATGTCATTAATGAAAATGGATATTTCATGTATTCCAATTGCTATTTTAGTATTACTTTGGGTACTTAAATCATTATCTTTAATGATAATTCCATTGTGTACAATTGTAACTTCATTTGTTGTATCATTTGGAATTATGTATCCTATTACATTTGCTATTGATATTTATGGTGTTGCTCCTGCATTAATGATGTCATGTATAGCAGCAATGTCTATCGACTATTCATTATTCTTATTAACTCGTTTTTCAGAAGAATTATCTATTGAACAGAGTTATTATGACGTTATAAAAAATACTTTACAACATGCAGGAAGAATTATTTTTACATCAGGAGGATTATTAACACTTTGTTTTGTATCACTATGTTTCTTTCCATTAGATGTTATTATTACTTTAGGAATGGGTGCAGCTATTTCCATATTTATTACTATTATCGTTAATTTAACTTTGACACCATCTCTTCTAGGTATATTTCCAAAATTCTTTTCTAAAAGAGGATTTATTCCATGTATTAAACGTTGTAGAGCATGGGCAGAAAACAAAGAAAAAAGTTATCATAGTAAAGATTCATTGTGGCATAAATTTGCTGTCTTTTTATCAAATAAAAAGATGTCTTTTATTAGCATTATTATTGCATTAATTTGTA